GTAGGTATGTGGGGGCGTGTTCGAACGAGCCGTTTTAGGTAGGTGTGGCTGACTCTTAACTTTTATAAAGAATATCTCTTTGGATTTGAGACTTTATTCTTTGCAACTTTACAGATCTTCTTTATGCACCAAGAGCTTGTAACACTCCAAAGAGAAAGGAAAAATTGAAATCGCATCATATGACCCCTTTAAATGGCTCGACACAACTCGGCACACAAGCATGGATGATTCACATTGACACACAAAGACTGAACAAATGGTATAATGCATACATTTTATTTGCTGTTTTAATGTAAAATATTTCCTATTTATTAAACTTTTTTGAACAAATATTGGGGGTTTGGAGTAACATGCCTATTCTGAACAAGTAAAACTTGCAAAAACAAGTAAAAACCCACCCAAGGTAGGCCTAATGTTAGAAGGACAGGCTGCAACAACAGCAGTCATCTAAATACGAGCTTGATGGTAGTTTATCATGGCAAATAGGCCTACTTTTTTAGACATATAGACCCTGAATGTGAGCAACAGTAACTCAACCGGACTAGAGTTCAATAGAGAAACTGACCGACTGATTGAGAGAGTGGCTTATTTACGGTTTTTTTTTCTGTTCTGTTCTGTTTTTAACAGTAGGACATGCGTTCGTGTTGCAGCCAGTTTTCATGTAAAATATTAACGCTCAGAATATTGCATGCCGTCAGCGCCCGCTAGTGTTCATCAACTAAACACACACGTGCACAAACAACTAACCCTCAAAATCCCTTTACAATGTTGCTGTCGTCTATTATTATTCGCAGTGCGATTTATCATAATTTCTATTTATAGAAAAATGATTCATGTTTGTTTAAAAAAACTGTAGATATAAAAACAAGACGATCAGTCTGTTTCCGATTTATACTGAAAAGGAATAGCCTATAGTTAAATTAGTAAAACTTTACTCACCGTTCACGAGTAATAAAACCCCAAAAAGGAAGGTATTATTCCTCATACTGATGTCGCTTCTGACCGCGTCTAAACTACAACAGCATTGATTCAGGACACTGATGATGGACTCGTAGCAAACCTTCCAAGTCACGTGGTTTCTTGAGAACGCGGGTGTGTTAGACCTGCTATTTCGAAATGTTCCAAAGTCGACCGTGGCTAGAATTATCAAAATTCTGAAATGCTTGTTTATTCGAGGCTTGTCATATTCTGCATATTCTTAGTCAGTAAAATAAATGTTGAAAATGTTGTTGAAACTGAACTTTAAAAAAAGTGATTGTGAAAATGTGTGATTATTATGAATAATTATTATGGTAATCCATTTTATTATAATATAAAAATATATTATATATTTATACATTTTATAGCAATAAAAGTGTCACAATAATCCAGTGCAGACATTCAGCGTAATTCTAAAATTAATTAATTCATGAATAAATTATTAATAATAATAATGTGACCAAAATAAAAAGGTTTTAAAAACGTTGCTTTAAGTATTAAAAAAGTTAATATCACGCCTGATTACTATGAAAACAAAACCCGACGAAACTGTAACTTTTGAGAGATATTTTATAGTTTTTTAAAAATAGTTTTCTGAATTCAAAACGAAAATAAATAAATAACCATAAAAAAATACCGCGTGCCATCACATACAACCAAGAAAAACTCTTTGTCTGAGCTTTATTGTGTATAAAGGCCTTCTTACATGAATCTCATCCCCTCAAAACTTTACTTTGGAATAAAAAAAGCTAATTTAGTTTGCACTGAATGCTTTTGACACTCTAGCAGCTCCTTCTCTGAGTCAAAGTGAAACCTGCTGTGGTCTGAGTTTAATTCACATCAGTTTAGTGGCAGAATGACCCAAATTAATGAGATTTCTCTTGAGTGGACAAACGTCTCGCTCATGTTTAGGCTACTGTTGCATGTGTGCAGAAGATTTATAGGTAGGCTCTTTTCCATCAAGACAGATTTCCACTCTACACACATATATACATTATAAAACAAAGCAGTGAATCCATAAACAGTCAGATTTGACAAAATGCATGCACTTAGTAGCTATGTCCTTAATGATCTTTTTACTTCTAGCTGTGTGTCAGGGATCGCTGTAAAATCAACATATCATATATCATGATTTCTGTGGAAGCAAGCTATAAACATGGATTACTATTTTATGGTGTGATAAAAGGCTAGATAAAGGGATATAAAGCCAGATGCGAAACTGAGCTGCGACACCAGCTCTTGCTCTACTGACGCGTTCATTGACACAATCACGCGCAGTCGCGCAGAGTTGTTTGTTTCTTCTTTCTCTGATTGGCTGAAGAGTTTTTATCTGCTTGACTCGGCGCAAGCTATCTACACATAGTGTGTATGACAATGAAACATTGTTAAACGCGATTCTGTCGTGTTTCTTGAAATCGACCTCATTTTTTTCAGACATTAACGGATCAGCCACTGAACGGATCTCAAACGGTTGAAGATAATGATTCACACGCTTGTTTTCTTCTGTTTATTTTTTCCCCCTCTGATTGGTGAGTAATAAATGTATTTATGGCCTTAGTGTTAGTAGCCTACCGATGAGCTAGGCTAATATTGTTTAAAACATTTAAGGATTAAGGGTTTAAATTATTTAAATATTTAATATAATTTGGACCTCTAGGCGCTGAGACAGATGAGGTCGTGTCAGCGATGGAGGGAGGTTCTTTCACTCTCCGCACTGGCTCTACTGAACGACAGGGCGATCATGAGATCGAGTGGCGCTTTGGCTCGAGCAGAACTTTGTTAATCAGAATAAAGGCAGGAAACATGATTACATCCAATGACACGAGTCACACGATATTCAGAGACAGACTGCAGCTCGAAAGACAAACTGGAGATCTCACCATCACAAACATCACTAATGAACACGCTGGAGTTTATGAACTAAGTATCGATCTCGGACAGACAGAGTTGCAAAAAAAATTCATTGTCGCTGTTTATGGTGAGTAGCCTATTACAGATGCAAACAGTAGGCCTACTTAATTTTATATTTACGTAACAACCCTCTGTCAGTTGTAGGCTACTCATTCTTGGATTTATTTGTTTATTTACTCTCCAGCTCCTGTGCCTGTTCCTGTCATCACCAGATACTCTCCTCAGTGTTCATCATCATCATCATCAGGGTTTAAACGTGTGCTGCTGTGTTCAGTGGTGAATGTGAGTCATGTGACTCTCTCCTGGTACAAAGGAAACAGTTTATTGTCCAGCATCAGTGTGTCTGATCTCAGCATCAGTCTCTCTCTACCTCTGGAGGTGGAATATCAGGATAAAAACACCTACAGCTGTGTAGTGAACAATCCTGTCAGCACCCAGACCAAACATCTGGACATCGATCAACTCTGTCAGACATGTTCAGGTAGAACTTTGGTGATATCAGCGTTTCTTCACAGTACCTTAAATACTAGTACCCGATACCTTAAAACAGTAAGAGTAGACATGTCAAAGTCTATTTGAAAGAGTTTGTTTAATGCCGTTTTTCAAGAAGTGCCTACTTCTTTCTACAGACTGTGACAATTGGAGTCAAAAGGAGCTGTGATCCGATTGGTTGCCTCTGCTGTGGTGGATGTGACACTTTATGATGCAGTGTTTCCTAACCTTTTTTCTGCCACGGCATAGAAGTAAAAAATCCCACAGCACACCACTAAGCACAAAAAAAAAAAAACATATAATAATAATAAAAAAAGGGGAAAGTTTTTTTTCTTCAATAATTAAACAGTGCATCATCAGAGTTGGTATTTTGGCTTTATATAGGATCAGACACTTGCACCATGCTCAAATTGAGTTAACAAGGTTTTTGAAGAGCGAATGACAAAGGTATTTAGTATGGAACGATATTCCGGACAATTTTCAAAAGGACTTGCAAATTGTATTTTCAATTGCGTTTTCCATATGTGGACGCATAAATTGTGACATAATCCAAATGCAATTGCAAATCCTGCATTACCGTTTGCATTTTCGCTTTCGCGAACGCACAGTGACTGCCAAATTTCAAATGAAAAAGCAAAGTCCATTTGCAACTGTATTTCCCATGTCTTAGGAGTTACGAGCCAGTCATATTTAAATAGCAATATTAATTACCACGTCTGCTTTTTCACTCTCGCTGCGTCGCGCATGTAACCTGCCAAAACTCAAATGGAATCGCAATTCCTTTTGCATTTGAATTTCCGATGTCTACATGGAAAGCTGCCAATCATCGTCAGGGGCGGGACTATACTAGGGGGCGTGTTTGTATTGGGAGGTGACGTCACTCACAGAAGACCGTGCCGAATGCTCTGATCAATGGAGGTAATCGGTAAAGGCTCCGCTAAAGGCAGCTAGCAATCAGTTTCGTACCTGTGTGAACGAATAGACAGTGCAACCTTCTTGGCACAATACATAATTATGTCTTTTTTACCCCAAATGTAGCGATTATCCCCTGCTAACAGCGGGAGCCACAACGGTACGCACAATAGGTCAATATTCACTATTAACCAAACGCTTTTCACCTGTCTCAGCATCTCTCACTGTTTACACTCACTTACACTTTTAATCCGTAATAGAGAGCGTGTCACACCTGCCTCAAGACCTTTTACCGTTTGCACTCCACTTGATGCACTTAAACAAACAAACAGAGCAAATCTACACGTATTTACCTATTTGCAACCTATATCTTATAAGACTTATTCCTATCTAATAGCCTATGTGCACCTGCCTCAAGATCTCTCAGTCTGTTTACGATCCGATAGATGCATGTGACAAAACAGAAAATGCTGCTACTCTTACTCTGCCTGCCCCAGATGACACTTCACCAGTCAGATCTAGGTGCAGCTGTCGCAGAACACGCCACAGCCAAGGCAAGATAACATTAAAAATCACCTGCATCAATCGCGGTGTCCAGTGGCTGTAACTAGTGAGAGATCTTGAGGCAGGCGCAACGCTTTGGTGCCACGTACCGGACGCGAACTCCATAACGGATTAAAACGGTTGAATAAAATATAAAGTAAGGTGGAAAATAAGTATAGATTTGCACTGTCTGTTTGTTTAAGTGCATCAAGTGGAGTGCAAACGGTAAAAGGTCTTGAGGCAGGTGTGACACGCTCTCTATTACGGATTAAAAGTGTAAGTGAGTGTAAACTATATAAAATAGTTTATTATAGTTTATTAAATACTATATATAAAACGGGCAGGAAACATCATCAAAGACCCCTCCTGTGTTCAGTGGTGAATGTGAGTCATGTGACTCTCTCCTGGTACAAAGGAAACAGTTTATTGTCCAGCATCAGTGTGTCTGATCTCAGCATCAGTCTCTCTCTACCTCTGGAGGTGGAATATCAGGATAAAAACACCTACAGCTGTGTGGTGAACAATCCTGTCAGCACCCAGACCAAACATCTGGACATCGATCAACTCTGTCAGACATGTTCAGGTAGAACTTTGGTGATATCAGCGTTTCTTCACAGTACCTTAAATACTAGTACCCGATACCTTAAAACAGTAAGAGTAGACATGTCAAAGTCTATTTGAAAGAGTTTGTTTAATGCCGTTTTTCAAGAAGTGCCTACTTCTTTCTACAGACTGTGACAATTGGAGTCAAAAGGAGCTGTGATCCGATTGGTTGCCTCTGCTGTGGTGGATGTGACACTTTATGATGCAGTGTTTCCTAACCTTTTTTCTGCCACGGCATAGAAGTAAAAAATCCCACAGCACACCACTAAGCACAAAAAAAAAAAAACATATAATAATAATAAAAAAAGGGGAAAGTTTTTTTTCTTCAATAATTAAACAGTGCATCATCAGAGTTGGTATTTTGGCTTTATATAGGATCAGACACTTGCACCATGCTCAAATTGAGTTAACAAGGTTTTTGAAGAGCGAATGACAAAGGTATTTAGTATGGAACGATATTCCGGACAATTTTCAAAAGGACTTGCAAATTGTATTGTGCCAAGAAGGTTGCACTGTCTATTCGTTCACACAGGTACGAAACTGATTGCTAGCTGCCTTTAGCGGAGCCTTTACCGATTACCTCCATTGATCAGAGCATTCGGCACTGTCGTCTGTGAGTGACGTCACCTCCCAATACAAACACGCCCCCTAGTATAGTCCCGCCCCTGACGATGATTGGCAGCTTTCCATGTAGACATCGGAAATTCAAATGCAAAAGGAATTGCGATTCCATTTGAGTTTTGGCAGGTTACATGCGCGACGCAGCGAGAGTGAAAAAGCAGACTGGTAATTAATATTGCTATTTAAATATGACAGGCTCGTAACTCCTAAGACATGGGAAATACAGTTGCAAATGGACTTTGCTTTTTCATTTGAAATTTGGCAGTCACTGTGCGTTCGCGAAAGCGAAAATGCAAACGGTAATGCAGGATTTGCAATTGCATTTGGATTATGTCACAATTTATGCGTCCACATATGGAAAACGCAATTGAAAATACAATTTGCAAGTCCTTTTGAAAATTGTCCGGAATATCGTTCCATAATTTAGCTTGTATGATCAAGAAAATTGGTAATAAAGTGTTTCATATGAAAGATGTGTTTTTGTACATTGCATATTTGGTATATTTTGTTTTTGTTTTTCCATTACCTGGCAAATTGTGGATGTTTCAAAGTGCTCCCATAGCTCTCATAAAGGCCAGTCAAAGCTCATTATTTAATGATCATAGGCATATTACAGCTGGATCAGACTCGTTCCCTTACCATCATAAACACCAGAACCACAGACTCAGAACTTTATAAACTAATCACAATTGTTGGGAATAAGACGACAAACAAGACATTCAATGTTAAGGTTTATGGTGTGTAACTACTCGCTGGTCATTAAACAGTCCGAAACAGCTTACGAAATACTGGTGTCCATACACTTTATTTATTGATATGGAACACTGTGAAAACTAAACACAAACCGAAACAAAAAAAACATAGTTTTACACACAACATTATAAATGACATTTAACACAAATAAAGGAATATACAAAACATTAACACTTTTAACGTTTTTGCCTGGTAACCAACAGTAGAATGGTCAGGAGCACTAACTCATTCAGTTTGCGCTAACACTTCCAGGTTAAGTTAATCAGGAAGGGTCATGTGACATTCAGTTTAGTCAAACTGGGAGTACAATGAAAATAAAATACAATACCAACAAAATTCTGAGGTTAGCACACATACACAGAAATACACATTTAAATTGTGAAGTCATGAAAACACAAAAAATAAACATTAACCCCTGAAATCACACATATATCATACATAACCCATAACTGACCTATCAGCGTCAGCTACAGGTGAGTATTACAGTGTCCTTCTCATATTTACGTAATAAATGTCTAAATGTCTTTTATTGGTCAATTACACCAATCACAAATAAGCAGGCACTAATCCATTACAGGGATAACAGTCCAGCAGCGCAGTCTGAGTCATTCCCTCCTCCTCCCCCAGCTCCACTTGTCTAGACCTGCTTATGCGCAGGTACTTTCACGGATTTGCGAGAGATGCAGAATGCGCAGTGATGGTGTTTTGACAAGACTGTTCTACAGAGCCAGAGGCTTGACACATGAGAATATATGCCAGTCTCGCTGCCAGCATCAAACTCACAATATAGGGCAGGGCAGGAACAAACATAATACTCACAATGAACAAGACAAGACACAAGAAGATAACGAGGCAAGCCCCAAGGGGAAAAAATTAAACAAGGCAAAATAAAACCTATTAAAAAATAAATAAATAAATGCAAGTTCTGATTACAATCAGCTTGTGGATGCTTGGTTATGGATGTTTGGTCAGGACCCCTTGGCGTCACATTTTAAGGCACTGGGTACCCTTTCAGCATTATCTTTTTAGGGAATCCTATTGATTTCACTGAGAAACTGGCGTCAGCAAGAAGCCAAGGATATATGAAATTAATGATATTGTCATTATGTTGGGGTATGGTTTTCAGTTGAAATTGCCAGCATAATTGAATTTACTTTACACTATTTAGACATTTCTGAGCACTTGTTTTCACAAGCACTGTTAAGTTTATTTAGGTCATTTGTATAATGGTCTCTCTGAGGGCTAAGCCCCCCTGAGGATGAGATCCTAGAACCGCCCCTGAATGGGACACACAAGTCCGCAAGACCTCAAATGCACACAACATCTGCCAAATGGGACAAGGTCAATTTGGCTTAATTTTTTTCTACATTTTCTCTTATTAATGATTGTCTTTCTTTATCACTCTAGCACACGGCCCACAGACTCAGCTCTGATCGTGCTGATCTCTGCTGCTGCTGGACCTTTGTTGCTTGTGGCATATATACAGTGGGTACGGAAAGTATTCAGACCCCCTTAAAAAGGAGGAATGGCAGAGGATCCCCAAATCCAGGTGTGAAAAACTTGTTGCATCTTTCCCAAAAAGACTCGTGGCTGTATTAGATCAAAAGGGTGCTTCTACTCTAAATACTGAGCATGTGATATTTCAGTTTTTTTTTTTTAATAAATCTGCAAAAATGTCAAAAATTCTGTGTTTTTCTGTCAATATGGGGTGCTGTGTGTACATTAATGAGGAAAAAAAATTAACTTAAATGATTTTAGCAAATGGCTGCAATATAACAAAGAGTGAAAAATTTAAGGGGGTCTGAATACTTTCCGTACCCACTGTAAATGTGTGTGGAAATGATGTGTCTAAATTTCTTGTGACGACTGAGAGAGTTGTGCTGTTTTAACATGCCTGACATGATTATTCAGACAGTTCAAACAGTTGGCACTTCACTCAAAATTACTGTTAAAATAAATGTGCCTAGACCTGCTGCTAAAGCTTGTTTTCCATAAGACTACAAGCTGAAGAAAGTTCTGCAAATTTAAACGTGGGAAAAAATTCTCCAGACAGCATTCAAAAATTTGCCTTTAAAATTCAAAATAATTTTTACCTCATTCAACTACAATGACAAAAAGCAACCTTATAACACTGAATGTCCCCATAAACGTATTTTTTGTTGTTGTTTCACATTGGTGATAATTAATGGTGAATAATTAACTTTTTGATTAATTTTAATTTGTTAATTGTATTTATTACAGCTTGCCATCAAAAACTATGCATGAAGAGAGTTAGAGGCTCTTAGAGCACTTAGCACTTAGAGGCTTTTGCATCTGAACTCTTCACACACACACACACACACACATATATATATATCACTGAGTCAAAGCTGAGTTTCTACTACCTGCTAAAGTTTTCATTTGTTGAATGATTAAATCTCTCACTGATGAATCAGCTGCTGATGAAGGACGAACCATTTGGCAAATGCTTTTTTAAATGCTATTTAAAATTATGTATTATTTTACTGTTTTATTGTTTGTTTATAGGCTAATGAAGTTAAATGAAGCTTTAAACTTATCCGTTTATTTTTCATTTTAAAAATCATTAATTGTATTTAAATTGATTTTGAAACACAAACAACAGTTTAAAATCATTAATTTCGTTAAAAATAGATATATTTGTTTGTTTGTTTATTTATTGCAAAAGTGACATTGAAATATGGTTATGAAATGGTCTGTTATATGCAATAAACTGAATAAGCCTCGGTGTGCAGCCATTTGAAAATAAATTACGTACTAAAAGAAAGTGTGGCCCTTTCTTTTAACATTTACGTCTGTTGTGTGCATGTGTGTCAATTACACTAACTTTTTATTGGAGTTTTGATCCTCTCATTTTTTATCACTCATTTAAAAGTTAATAATCGACATAGGCTACTTTATATTTCACAATTATATATTTGTATATATTTTTAACTAATTAGCTTACCCTTTTCTTTGCCGTAACAACCAGTCAGCAAATACACTAAATTAAGTCCCACAGTAAGCTGTAGGTTATTATGATTCACTAGAAAGAACCGACTCATAAAGTCATTCGTTCGGGAGTCAGACTACACTGGTTAACCTGTAAGTTTTCGATTCACCAAAATGAACCGACTCACTAAAATCATTCGTTCGAGAATCGGACTACACTGGTGACTCAGTTTCACGCATTATATAGTTCAGTAGCGGTCAAAAAGTAATCCGATTACGTAACTCGCGTTACTTGTAATGCATTACCCCCAACACTGACTCTGACGGTCAAAAATTGCGATAAGATGCAAGTAGTAAACATTTAATATTTGACAAGCGTTTACGTTAGACATTTAAAACGACTGGTTTGTCACATTTCACTGTTTTTAATTAAAATAAATATAGGCTATCATTTGATACATCCGATATGTTTTAGGGACTCGCTCTGAATACTAGGCTACGTTTCATTGCAGCTGTATAGTATTAGTATATTAATAACGCACAAATGTTGTGGCCTGGGAGTCGGTCATTTCGAAATTTAGTTCACTGAATCACCAGTAGGCCTAGCTCCCAAAAACGTCTGGGCATCGGTACAGAACAAAAACACGGCAAAACAGTCACTTGTCGCCATCTCCTGGAGTAATTATGTAACGTGCAGAAACGGACGCTGAACAAAATAATTAGTGTTTTGCAATCGCTAAAACACATTTGTCAAAACTTGGGTCACTTTTTCAAAACTTTTCACACAATGAGCACAACAACAGTTTATGTGGGCTAAACCATGGATCATTTAATTACTTTCGCACAAAATTACTTGAATTCAGTGACTACTTCTTTCAAATTACATAAATTATTTTCTCACTCAGACATAAACAACGGCAAAACTCTATACCTACATGCCAATTTGCACATGCTAACATATTCTTTTCACAACAGTTAAACCTAAGTTCAAAACCTAACATAATACAAAATGAACAAGACAGCAATTTGCTACAATTCTACAGTAGGCCTAATACCTTATTGAAATGCTCGGTTTGCACTTCAGCAAGTCGTCTTCACCACATCTAGATGCCTAAATGCTTTGAGTTGCTGCCATGTGATTGGCTGATTAGCAATTTGTGTTACCAAGCAATTGAACAGGTGTACCTAATAAAGTGGCCGGTGAGTGTATATTCTGAATCAAAAAATGAAAACTTTGAAAAACCGAGTTGAACAACTAGAGTTACAGTAGTATTTCAACTGCATTACAGTTTTTCTCATTTGCTAAGACATGGTTAATGAACCTGGGATCCACCTGATCTTCATCATCACTTTTTCAGCACAGCAGAAGTCTTCTCTTGCAAATGTCTACACACTTTTTCACACATTTTTGGGAGGAAATTTGATCTCACTGTGAAAAATGTTGTGCTGTCACATATTGCAGCTGGTTAGGATTAGATTTATATAGAATCTATATATATAGAATAGTTAGATTTATATAGAAGAGAGCTTTTTTTATTGCTTGACATTATTGTGTCACATTTGGCGAGGACGTAGCATTGCACTTTAAAGTGCTGGATCTGAACATGAACTTCTTTGTGTTCAGACATGTGTGGCGGCGTAAAGAAGATGATTGAGTAAAACTCTTCCCACACGGAGGGCAGTGATATGGTTTTTCTCCAGTGTGGATCCTCTCATGTGTTCTCAGATATTCTGACCGACTGAATCTCTTGTCACAATGTGAACACTCGTAAGGTTTTTCTCCAGTGTGCATTCTCTGGTGCAGTTTTAGTTCAGCATTTGTAACAAAAGTCTTCCCACAATCAAAGCACATATGTTCCTTCACACCACTGTGACTTTTCTGGTGTCTTTTTAAAGCACCTTGCTGACTAAAACTCTTTCCACACGAAGAGCACATGTGAGGCTTCTCCTGTGTATGAACTTTCAGGTGGTTCTTCAGGGATTCTGGCCAAAAAAAGTTTTTACCACACTGATCACAGTTGAATGGTCTTTCTCCAGAATGAGAACGCAGATGTAATTTCAAAAAGCCAATCTGTCTGTAACTCTTCCCACACTGACCACATGTGTACGGCTTCTCTCCGGTGTGGATCTTCATGTGTATGTTAAGGTTTGATATTAGTGTGAAACTCTTCCCACATTGATCACATGTGTGCGGTTTCTCTCCAGTGTGGCTTTTCTTGTGAACCTTAAGATCTCCTTGTAGTGTAAAACTCTTTCCGCACTGGTCACATGTGTGCGGCTTCTCTCCAGTGTGGATCTTCTCGTGTGTTTTCAGACAATCTGACCGACTGAATCTCTTGTCACAGTGTGAACACTTGTAAGGTTTTTCTCCATTGTGGACTATCAGGTGCTTTTTCAGTTCAGTATCTGTAAAGAAGGTCTTCCCGCAATCAAGGCATGCATGATTCTTCACACCGCTGTGTCTTTTCTGGTGTAATTTTAAAGTACCCATCCGTGAAAAACTCTTTCCACACAATGAACACATGTGAGGCTTCTCCTTTGTATGAACATTCAAGTGGATCTTCAAATGTGCTGCGTTAAAAAACGTTTTGCCACACTGATCACAGTTAAACGTTTTTTCTCCAGAGTGAGAACGCAGATGGCTTTTAAAAGTGCTTTCATATGCAAAACTCGTCCCGCACTGATCACACGTGTATGGTTTCTCTCCAGTGTGGATTATCACGTGTCTCTTAAGGTGTCCCTTTTGTGTAAAACTCTTCCCGCATTGATCACATGTGTACGGCTTCTCTTCACTATGATCTCTCATGTGAACTTTAAGACTTTGCTTGTATGGGAAACTCTTACCACACTCAGGGCAAGTGAATTTTTTGGGGGGATTTCTTTTCAGTATACATTTACGTTGAGCCTGTGAGCGACTCACAGATTTTACTCCAGTTTTGACATGTTTTTCTTCTGCTTCACTCAGTTCTTCACTCTCCTCCTCCTCTTCCATCAGGTCTAAAATGAAAGCAAAAAAGGTGAAGTTTTCAGTAAATCATTTAAAAACTTCAAAGCCAGAAATGTGAAGGGAAAGGACATAAAAATTAATAGCAGAAAGAATACCGTTGCTACACTAAAATATGATCTTTATGATGATTTTTTATAAATAAGTTATATGTTCATGAATTGTGTACATCAATCTTCCAATTATTATTTTCTGTAGTAGTGAGAGCTAGGGATGCACCGAAATGAAAATTCTTGGCCGAAGCCGAAACAGAACAAAATGAAACACTGGGCCGAAAGCCGAAGGCTGAATAAATTAATTTTATTTTTAAATTTATAAATTACATAAATAAAATTTTTACTATTTTGTCTTGCTTTTCAAAGAAAAAAATCAATTACAAAACAGTAATTTAAAAATATTTAACACTGAACATGTTTTAACATTCTAGCAGACATTATTCCAACAAAGCACAATTTAACTTAAAATTAATAAGTTAGTAAAATAATATTTTTTGGCCATCAGACCCCCTTCCTGAATAAGGCATGTATTTTTTAAATGAAAGCAGCCTTGCTGAGCAGAAGAAACTTCTTTTAAAACATTAGAAAATATTACAGATGCCAATTTGAACACTACGTGTGAATGTTAATAAATGTATTAATAGAGCTGTTGTAATTATTATTATCATTATTACGGTCTTACTTTTTTATTTTATTTGACAGAACAACAGTTAAATTACAATACTAACATTTATGAAGGTTGATGGAGTTCTTGCTTTTTCTCAACTTTTATTTTGGCGGAAACGCGCAGCAAGACCTCAATGCTTCTTTTTTGTTGACAACAACAGCAGATTTATAAATGAGTCTCATTACGAATGTGTTGCACGTATTGCATTGTCACATGCCTTGTAAAAATTCATAAAAATGTGTGAGCAACTGACAGGTAACACTGTTTCAGCGCAGATATTCCTCGCGCTTTGGACTTTGAATCCTGGTTAACAAGCAGTTAGTGCCGAGAGTTTGTGCAGCACTGTCAGAATACATGCAATTCGACAGTGAAAACATAACGTTCTGCAGATTATTTACGAATTGTTTGAGGCCATTTCGCGATTTCAATCATCATACATGTAACCAGCAACAACCACCCCTTCCTCTTCTCATCGAAGACATGCGATGCAGTA